CTGCTGGCAGAACTGACAGGGAGAAGCTCCCTGTGCTGGCAGCGTTGGGAGGTGGTTAGCCTGAGCTGCCTGCACCCACTGTCTGCTTCTCCCCGACCTTCTGCTCCCCAGAGGGCCTGGTGACTGAGGGCAGAGGCTGACAGGAGCACCCAGCTTAGAGAAGCCCCACAGCCCAGGCCAACGTGTGGGGGGCTCTGATGTCAGTGGGGTAATGGGGTTCTGGGGGCCCCAAGGCCAGGCGGCAGAGCTTCACTGCCGAAGACAGGGTGGGTGCATCTCCGTGATGGTTGCAGTGGTAATCAGGGCTGCGGTGGTAATCAGGGTGTTTCGGCCCCAGCCATCTTGGGTGCCCTAGGAACAGGAAGATGACAGGTTTAGCTGCCTCTGACCCAGTGTCCAGACCTGAGCACCCACCAGTCTCTGCCCAAGGAGAAACCTCCAGTGCATCCTTGTCTAAACCAGAGCTATTTTCAGAAAAGGAAATGAGGAGGGCGCTGGACTGTGTCTCAAGCCTCTGGCAGTGAGGGAGGAGGCAGAGAGCTCCAGGCCCTTCGTGCTCTGCGCGCTGCTGCTTTGGTGCAGGATCTGTGACCCTCTGACCTTCCTGCAAATGACTTGGCTGTCCTGGAAAACAGCTCCTCTGATTGCCAGAGCTGCCGCCCAGTTTTCCGGGCGGTTTTACTAGAAGGCAGAGGAGTTCAGATGGCAAAGGGGCGATTTGTGTTTGTTTATATTTGCCAAACTCTGGAAAGTTTTCAGGGGGTCAGAGATGTCTTGTTATGATAATTTCTTTAAAAATGTTTTATTTCCTACTGCTTGGTTGAGGCATTTTTTAAAGGCTAAACTAAATAAAATGGAAGACTCCTGGGTTTAAAGGGAAAGCGCTTTTCCTACGCCCAACGGCACGTGAATTCATTTGCTGTTCAGTGAGTGTGCATTGAGAAGCTACCGAGTGCTGAGCTCGGTGAATACACGCCAGGAAGAGATTGGCTTCTCGCAGGCTGGGCAAGCACTGCCCCGACCTTGGAGGTTGGTTGCCTGTGAGCCGCAGAAGACAAGCGAGTGCTGCTGCGGAGTTTCATGAGGGCGACTGCGGCCTGGGCCGTGTGGAGAGGGCGTGTGGAGAGGGCATCGGCGTGGTCCTCGCGCTTCTGCCAAGCCCTGGGCTGGTGTAAATGCTGAACTGGTTACTGGCTTGTGTTTCTTCTCTCCCTGAGCTGCCGTCGGCTAGTACTTCGTGTAGTAACACCGGAAAACTCACATGCTGCAAGGTAGGCAGATAAAGCACTGAGCTGGGTGCCGGGTTAGAGGCTTCAACATGGTGCATTCTCCTCCTCAGAAGTATACTTTCTTCACTTTTCTACCCACACTCATTTTGATTCTTTCCATTTACCGTATGTGATCTTAATAGAAGCCCAAGAAACACTCCGCTCACCTCTTCACTAAGAGAAAAACACTTGTATATCAGGGTAAATGCACAGCCTCGGGTTCAGAACATAGGCACCCGGCTCAGACTGGCACCTTGTGAACCCTCGACCTCAGAGTGGACAGCCCAGCATTTCCATGGAGCCATGGAGGCCCAGAGTTGCCAAGTCTCCTGGTATTGCAAGCAGAACTAGAAATTTTTATATAAAATCAAGTTTTTTTTTCATTTTTAAATTGGTGAATTAGAAAAATGGCACAAAGGTGAAACTAACTTACAGGCTAAACCTTGCCTGTTTGTGATGATGAGACTGGATCTTACTTTCCCCTTGCAGATCTGCTTGGAGTATATACGTTGCTTCAGTGTATCTTTTGTTCATTTCTGTGCTTATTCATGGAAACACCTATTGCGTGACACCGTGCCGGGACACTGTGCTGGATGCTGGGGTACAACTGTAAATGTGGCGCAGTCTTCCACCTGGGAGCCGGGGACAGTCTTGTTTGCCTTTCTCTAGGCTGAGCATCCCTGTTTCCCAGACCTTCTTGGCGAGGCCTCATTTCAGGAGCCTGGCTGGAAGTGTTCTCGAGTTCAGGAGCACCCTGGGGCCAGCTGTGCCTGGGACACCGCCTGCCTTGGTCTCCGATCCACAGCTGAGTGGGCTGTGTCCCCGTGAGTCCCTGCTCTTGAGTCCCTGCCTGTAGAGTCCGCCGCTCTTCACTGTCTGCCAGATGACCTCTGGTCTTCAGTCTCCCTGTGCTGGGCGCGCTTGGGGAGGCCGCCGTGTCTTCTCTGTCTGCCTGAGCGCAGCCCTGTTCCCTGACCCATGCTAGGTTCTCAGCTGACCCTGTGGGAGAGATGGAAGTGGAAGACAGTTGGACTCCTTCAGTGCAGTTCCTGTCACGGGCTGTTGCCTTGGTTTGTTTTAGTAGCAAGGACATATAAACTCTTTGACTTGAGTGCAACTAAAGATCTCTTTACAGTTTTGATGTAAGTTGAAAGTGTTTTATTCTGTTTTATATGCTGAAATGGTTATTCTTTTCACTGTTCTTACAATTAATAATTTCAGCTGCACATGGTGGTGCATGCCTGTAATCCCAGCACCCTAAGGAGGCTGAGGCAGGAGGATTGTAAGTTTGAGCCCCGCCTGGGCAACCTCTTAGTGAGACCCTGCTCCACATAAAAAGTGACAAAGGGCTGAGTATGTAGTTCAGTATGAAGGTTCTGGGTTCAATACCCAGTATTGGGCAAAAAATAAAAAAGTCAGCCATTTATAGTCTGACTCTCAATCAGTCTTGCAGCACATTAACTTCTGTTCCCAGATACAGGTATTTCTAATCTTGATAAGCATGCACTCTATAAGTTTCATTTAAGTCTTTGATAAAAATATTGGGAAGACCAGAGATAAAAGCCGCACGCTGTGACATACACTGGAGGTCTCAGTTCAAGACGACATTGATTTATTATTCACCACTCTTTGCTTTGTGTAGCTACAAATCTGTCTTAAGCTATCTTGTATGCAGGGAGATTTCAAGAGATAGTGACAAATGCCTTTGTTAAAATAAAGATGTGATGCATCTATCACATCCCTTTCCTGTTAAATTATGAGGCTCATCAGTTGGCCCCTCTTTTTGTGAATCCATATTAGCTCCCAGAATCAGAGATTCTTTTTCTGTTCTCACAAATAGGCTATGCCCCTAAAATTTTGATAGCATTTTGTCTCAAGCTAACTTATCTGTAGTTTGAAGAATTCACTTTCCATCTTTTTAGACCTTGCAGCTTTTATAATTAATATGATGAGATACATTCTTGTACATACACGCACACAAAATCTTTGAGCACTCTTTCTGGTTATTTCTTTATGGAAAGTTCCCAGAAGCGGACTTCTCAGTCAAAGGGTACGTACTTTTAAATCTCTGTTGCACATTGCCAATCAAAGACCTTCCGGTGTGGACACCTAGCACCTGCGTGGGAGATTGCTGGTTTTCTCTCGTTGTCACTGATGCGGTCCTGAAAGCTCAGCCCGTTGGAGTGTAGACAGTGGCGCTCAACCCCAGGCGCGCTCTTAGGGAACTGCACGCAGGTTCTGTGAGAACCGTGGTTGGTCTCTGGCTTCTTCAGGCTCCCCAGTCTTGAGCTTTCTGGTTTCCTGAAACTTGGCTGTACCTGCACATCTTGTCCTGGAGTGTGAGGCTGTTCTCCCTGCTTGGCTGCACTGGTCCATTCCTGAGTTCAGCAGCTGTCTTCCCTTCCGCGGGTTACTGCTCCCCCCACCGCCACTCCTATGTTAAGGGTGGATGCCGGCTGGGGCGAACTTGCACCAGCGCCTGGAGTTGGATCCTACACAACAGTCCATTCTCTTAAGCTTAGTTTTGGACTGTGACTATTTCAGTGGGAGTGGGAATGGATTCTTGTACCCACACAAAATTTGAGATGTTTAAAATTCTGTGGGTTAAAGTTGACCATGAATTAAGTCAAGTATTTCAAATATGCACGTGTCATTTCTAAAGTTGACTTTTACGTTCTTGTTTGTTTTGGCAAAGAGGAGTTGTTTCTGTAAGAAAAACAAATCAAGCCCATGAGAATAAGGACCTACCGTGATGATCTGGTAAAACAGGCTAGAGTCCTATGGTTATGGTCTGGTAAAACAGGTTAGAGTAAGTAGACCAGGGTCCGGACAACTGCAGGCACTACCCCTCAGGGTGCACATGCTCATGCTCTCCCAAAGAACTATCCCCTGGCCAGTGCATTTTCTGGGACCCCACAGACTCAGTTGGGGGACATTATGTCCTATTAATAAATGAGGGCAACTTCAGCTCTCTCTGTGTTTTGCATTTCTGTCTCTTGCAAATTTTTTTTATTCTGTTAAACAGCAATTCCCTTTCTTTTGGTGGATCTCTTTCAGTTTCTTTGTGATAGCCTTAACAGTCAGATTCTGAGATCTGTGGGAATTTGTATTAAACATTTTACACACATTCTGAAACGCTGTGGTTTTACTCGTCTTGTTATTTCTGCTGCCCCTGGTAATGGCATGCGGCATCCTAAAAATCCCTACGTGAGCTGGTAGTTGGGTGGTGCTTCCAGAGCATGAATCCGAAGCGTGGCTCCTGGTGGAAGCACCTTGGTGAGGTTCGTGCCTGGTTTGTCCCTCTGTGGGCACCGTCACAGTCTCCTGGTCCTGTTCGTCTCCAGGGGCGCGGCTCTGCGGTCCACAGCACTTTGGACTTGGCTGGGAGCACTCAGCTGCTGAGGAGGGGCTGCAGTAAAAGCAAGGATATTATGCAGGTGTCTGCTTGAGCTATGGATAGAGGGAAAACAGACTCAGCTCCTGCTTGCCTGCTTTCTCAGTGTGACCGAGTTCCTGAAATAATACTGTACATTATGTATGCATTGATTTCTGCAGACAGGACAATTCTGAGATAAGAAAAAAGTGGTGCTTACTCAAATATAAAATAATCCACTGTTGGGAGTCATTTAGAAATAATTATATAGCTTATCTTTTTAAGTGAGTGTTCCTTCTGCTTTCCTTCTGCTTGTAGCTACTCCTGGCTCTAATTTTTTCCTCGTTACTTTTGTACAGGCTCAACATACTGTTGACGGGCATGGACCCGTTCTACTTTCACGTAGTGAACATGATCCTTCACTGCCTGGTGACGCTCGTGCTGATGTACACCTGTGACCGCGCCGTCTTCAGGAGCCCGGGGCTTGCCTTTGTGACGGCCTTGCTGTTCGCTGTGCACCCTGTCCACACCGAGGCGGTGAGTGTCACGAGCTTGGTGAAGTGACTGCCGAACTGGCTGTGTTTTTCAGCTATGTTGATCTTTTGTCCCTTTCAGAATCACATCAACTCAGAGCTCTACTTGATGACTTTTCTTTTTGAATGCTCAGATTGGCTTGCTTGCACCCCTAGGATGTAACTGCTTTTCTGAGTAGCATTGCTGTTATTACAGGTAATAATGAATAGTCATAGTCCTTTTTATTTTGAGAAAATTTAAATCCTAGTGTGTCTTTAAGGAGGGGCCTTTTGAGATGGTTGTCAGACTGTCATTGTTCCTGCTCTCCATTGATACTTTACCTGTTCTCATTCTGTTTTATATTTATAGTGTGTGTAATGCAGAACTCTAAGTGCTTGGGGAGGACTGGGAAGAGTTAGATTGATACTGTATACAGTAGTGATAGAGTACTTACAAATTGTTTTCCAGGTTACTCAGTAAGAAGTATAGTTCTTTCATGGAGATGAAAATTTATTTAGAAAGTTGGTGCCCATGGGCTCTTGTTCACATATTAACAATTATGCATCAGATAAGATGGTGTTGTCAGTCTAGTTTGTTTTCACATCTTAGCAATACGGCTTATTTTATGTGCATTGCTAGAGTAGGTGGAGACTTCCTAGGGCGTGCAGGGCCTCATAGAGTGTGTTGGGAGGCCACCTTCGTGCACTGAGAGAAGGGCTTCGTATTGCTCCCGTCTTGTATGCGAAAAATATAGCATGGTGTTAGACATATGGGATGGTGGCCTGTGTTGGCATTCTGGACTCAGAAGTGAAATAGTTGTCATAGGGATACATATAGTGTGATTGTTTAAACTGACCCAAGAAGTCCGATTTGACTAATTGCTTTGATTATGAGGATTGGCTTTTCCAGTTAAATTATATCATGGTTATTTTCCACCAACAGAATTCTAAATCTCTAAGGCCAAGGTATTGACAGTACTCCTGTGTGTATAGACATATTATATCCATAGTAGAGAAATTGATTGATAAAAGCAAATTATTTTATAAAAGCATTACCTTGTTAAGGTAGTTTTGCCAGCTCTTCCTGAGACTGGATAAGCTGCATCTGAGTTGAAGAGTGTGAACATAAGTTATGGTAGTAACATTCCTTTGGTAACTCTTGGTAAAGCCTTCTTGCTCTACTCAAAACCGTGAATGGCTCAGGTACCTAATGATGGATGTGTTTAACTTCTTTTCTTCTGACCAAATTTAAGGAGGATCTGATTGATTTGTTAGCTGTCAGATCATTGAACTATTGTATAAGATGATAGATCACTATGTGAAATTGCTGAGGACCTTGGAGATAAAGCATTAAGTTGTTGCTTTAACACAGATATTCTTCATTAATGTGAACAGTCTGTGAAGACAAAAGCTGAGAATAGAATGGATGCTGTGTGAAATCATGTCATTCTAGAAAAGGTAAGATTCAGCTGTATATAACTGAACTTACTGAAAAGAAACGCACTACACTTACATGCTATTAAGATGGACATTTTTATATTTAATAACCATTTTTCTACTTTAGTCATGATGTACTGATCAATTGTGAATTAATAATTGGAATAGTTATACAAAATTAAAAATTTAACACAGGCTTATGATCATTGGAAATTTTATAAATAAAATAATTTCAGGAGTAGGGATCTTGCCTAGCATGCTCGAGACCCAGCGTTCCATGCCTAGCACGACACCCACCAAAAAATTAATTATATCTGTACTTTTCTTACCAGGAGGTAATACAATAAATAAATTATTTTAAGGCATAACTACGTAATACATTAAGAAAAAATGCTGAGGGGGAAATAAATAGAAGTACAAGTTGAAGACAAAAGCGAATACAGTGTCTACCACTTAATGAAGAACCTGTCTGTGTAAGTGGGGATAAAGTGCTCCAGGTTTCTGTGGTCTTCAGATTCCCCCGGGTACATTTAAAACAGTGATACCGTGGCCTTATTGTAAAACATTAGTATTTACAACACATGGGAAGCTAGATCTTTTCGGGTATTTGAAATTACGATGACAAGCTGAGTACAGTCACACACACCTGTAACCCTGGCTCTCTAGGAGGCTGAGGTAAGAGGACTGCAAGTTTGAGCCCAGCCTGGGTAACTTAGCGACTCAGTGAGATGCTGTCTCAAAATTTAAAAATAATTTAAAAAATAAAATAATTTAAAAATAGGGTGGGGGGCTGGGGATGTGCTTAGTGGGAAGGCCGTGGGTTCAATCCCCAGTAATGCACAGCCCAGTATATACGATAACAATTTTAAATATGATGCCTAAGTGTCTAATTTTCTTTTTGGAAATAATATGAAGAAAATAACCAAGTGCTGGTATTCTTATGTAGAACATGTTTTTGTTTTTGTTTTGTTTTTTTTTTTTTTTTTTTGGTTTTTCTCCGGTACCGGGAACCGAACTCACGACCTTGCGCTTGCTAGGCAGGCGCTTTTTCCCAGAGAGCTAAATCCCCAGCCCCTTATGTAGAACGTGTGATACTGGGTCAGTGATACTTTAATTTCAGGTCATTAACGATCTAAACTTAGAGCGTTTGAGGGACAGTTATTGTAGGAAAGAGCGGATAGATAGGGCAACAACAGTTTTATTCATTGATGCAGGGATGGAGTGCATACAACAGGTAGCTTTGGGCTTGTGGTCATGAGCCAATAGCACTTAGATTAGATTCTAAGAGAAGTGGTAAATCCTGTTAGCAAAAAGACCTTCAGCCAAGGGTTTCAACAGGCTTTTGCACTAATCAGGGAAAAAATCCATAGTAACATTATTAGAGGGGCAAAGGAGTCTGGGAGCTAGACATTTATTTGGGAAAGGTGTTTATATTTGCAAGAAGACAGGCCCCATATAAGAAGGGTGTGAAGAAATTTGATTTGCAAAACAATTTACCTTACAAAGTGAAATAGAGAGATTGCTATTTAATTATGTATTTCAGTTCAGGTTTCTGAGGAGGACAGGGAAATAGAAAAAGAGATATACTTTATAGAAGATAGGGTGCTCAGATACTGAAACACACACACACACACACACACACACACACACACACAGTGTGATAGGGGAGGGAGTTCCTGAGAAGTAGCTCTCCTTTGTTAAATAAGAACAAAAATAGGACCATAAGTTATGTCAGGAGGGAGAATTTAATTTGAGGGGTTAAGATCTGGTTTAAAAACACTGATATGATTTTGTATGGACGTATTGATAGGATTAGATCCTTGCTTTATTACTTATACAGTGGGCAAGTAGTTACTGGGCACATGCTTGGTGCAGAGCCTTCTACAGGTGCTAAGGAAATACATGGTTGGATAGTGGGGTCCCTCCCACAGTTTCTCACAAGCTTATGAAAAACTAAAGAAAAGGAGACCCGTAAATCAATTCAAGACAAAGCCATGTGTTACAGTAACACAAGAACCCTCTAGGGGGTTCTAGAGAAATAGTATTTTCACTTTAAATAGATAGGGACAAATTCATCCATTTACTCAATCTTTCAACAAATATTTGAAAGCGTAAAGTACAGTGGTCTATAGAATATCACTCTGTAGGGCAGCAGCAATAAATAAGGTAAACCCAGACTGACCTAAGTTTTTGAGAGTCTTTGAAAGGTTTCTAAACATTGTATTCCTTGGATAAGGGCTACTCGGCCTGTTTTGAACTCCATCCACTTCAGTCCACTGATGTTTTTTCAATGTTTGGATGTTGGTTAGAGACTCCAGTTCCCAGGTTAAATCATTCCTTGGTGGATGGAGACCTGCTGTCTTTTCTCATTGCTGAGACAAAATACCTGACACCCACAGTTAAAGGAGCAAAGATTTATTTTAGCTCACAGTTTATAGAGGTTTCAGTCCATAGTCAGCTGGCTCCAAGGCAGGGTGGCATGGCAGAGGAGAAACAGCCCATGGAATGGTGGGCAGGAAGCAGCAAGCAGCGAGCAGCAAGCAGCGAGTCTGCCTTACCCTTTTATGTCTTCCAGGCTGTAAGCCTTTTGGGTGGTGCCATCCACACTCAGGGTCTTCAGTAAATCCATTCAACCACACCCAGGACCATGCTAGTTCCAGTCAGTGGACTAATTTAGTACTCACCATTACACACTCTGGATCCAGCCAGCTCTGAAAGACCCCACCTGTGAGTACATGGGGCTTTGAGGGGACATCTTGACACAAGCCGTAACACCTGCAGTGTAAATCCAAAACACATGCTGTGCTTTTGCAGATATATTTTTTTACTTACCTTCCATGATTGACCAGTTGCTTCAAATTTTTTTTTTCTTGTAGAATTGGATATTTGACTAGGAGCCTGACATGTGTTAGGCAGTCACTCTATCATTGAGCTGTACCCCAGCCCTTTTTAGCTTTTGAGACAAGGTTTTGTCAGTTTATGGATGCTGCCCATGACCTAGTAATCCTCCTATCTAGACCTGAGTAGCTGGGACTGCAGGTATACAACACTGCATTGGGTGCTTTTTCATTTTCTAGTGTGGTACAGTTAGTTCAGTTTGCACTGTCATTGAGCCGAGTCCAGCTGGTGCAAATTTAACATTCCATCTCTGCTTCCAGTGCCCCTTTCTTTTCTTTTTTATTTTAGAGAAAAAACACTAAAAATGGTACAAAATTTCAAACAAAGAGAGTAACAAATAGTATATTGTTTATTGTTATCTTCAAAGTAGTTATGATATAAGCATGAAAAATTGATCAGACAATATAAGCACAAACCTTTTTCAATGAACTAATAGAAATTAGTATAGCTATCTATTTTAACATATGTGTATATATATATATATATATATATATATATATATATATATATATCTTTTACTTTTCTTTCTTTTCTTCTTTCCCCCATCCCAGTTTCTTTTTCCTTTTGAACAGTTTCTTCCAATTTCTCAATATCTATTGTACATTTTGTCTCTTGTTTTACTCTTTCAACTTCTTATGCTAGGGAGGAAATACGATGTTCATATATGTGAGACTGATTTTTTTCACTTAT